CTTTCCTTCGTTTATGAAGCTTAGTTTCACTGGATACAAAATTCTTGGCTGATAATTGTTTTGTTTGAGGAGGCTGAAGATAGGGCTCCAATCCCTTCTAGCTTGTAGGGGTTTTGCTGAGAAATCTGCTGTTAATCTGATAGGTTTTTCTTCATAGGTTACCTGGTGCTTTTGTCTCACAGCTCTTGAGATTCTTTCCCTTGTCTTAACTTCCGATAACCGGATTACAATATGCCTAGGCAATGGTCTTTTTGTGATGAATTTCCCAGATGAAATTTGAGCTTCTTGTATTGGATGCCTAAGTCTCTAACAAGGCTGGGGAAGTTTTCCTCGAAATTTCCTCGATTTCCAAATGCGTTCCAAACTTTTACATTTCTCTTCTTCAGGAATGCTGATTATTCTTAGGTTTGGTCATTTAACATAATCCCAGACTTCTTGGATGCTTTGTTCATATTTTCTTATTCTTTTTCTTTTGTCTTTGTTGGAATGGGTTAATTTGAAGACCTTGTCTATAAGCTCTGAAGTTCTTTCTTCTGCTTGTTCAATTCTATTGTTGAGACTTTCTATAGCATTTTGCATTTCTGTAAGTGCATCCATTGTTTCCTGAAGTTTTGGTTGTTTTTTATTTATGCTATCTATTTCATTGTCTATTTCTCTCGTCACTTCTCATATCATTTTTTTGATTTCCTTAAATTGGGCTTTTCCTTTCTCTGGTGCCTCCTTAATTAGCCTAATAACTAACCTTCTAAATTCTTTTTCAGTTGAATCAGGGATTTCTTCTTGGTTTGGATCCATTGCTGGTGAACTAGTGTGATTTTTGGGAGTGTTAAAGAACCTTGTTTTGTTATATTCCCAGAGTTGGTTTTCTGGTTCCTTCTCATTTGGGTAGGCTGTGTCAGAGGAAAGGTCTAAGGCACAAGGGTGTTCAGATTCTTTTGTCCCACGGGGTATTTGCTTGGTGTAGCACTCTTCCCCCTTTTCCTAGGGATGTTACTTCCTGAGAGCCGAGCTGTAGTGATTGTTATCTCTCTTCTGGATCTAGCCACCCAGCAAGTCTCCCAGGCTCCAGTCTGGTGCTGGTGGTTGTCTGCACAAAGTCCTGTGAACCATCTGTGTGGGTCTCTCAGCTGTGGATACCAGCACCTGTTCTGGTGGAGGTGGCAGGGGGGTGATGTGGACTCTGTGAGCATCCTTGGCTTTGGTTGCTTAATGCACTATTTTTATTCTGGTTGGCCTCCTGCCAGGAGGTGGCACTTTCAAGAGAGCATCAGCTGTGGTAGTATGGAGAAGAACAGGCAGTGAGCAGGGCCCTAGAAATCCCAAGAGTATATATTCTTTGTCTTCAGATCAGGGTGGGAAGGGCAGGGTTGGGCTCAGACTCTCCTTGGGCAGGTCTTGCTGTGGCTGCTGTGGGGAATGGGAATGAGGTTCCCAGGTCAATGGAGTTATGTTCCTAGGAGGATTATGGCTGCCTCTGCTGTGTCATGCAGGTTGTCAGGGAAGTGGGGGAAAGCCAGCAGTCACAGGCCTCACCCAGCTCACATGCAACCCAAAGGGCTGGTCTCACTCCCACTGTGCCCACCCCCCAACCACAGTGAGTCCATTTCCAGGCAGTGGGCAAGCAGGGCTGAGAACTTGCCCCAGACTACCCACCTCCCAGCTGTGAAAGCAAGTAGGGCTTTCGGTCTTCCCCTGCCTGTGGAGTCCACACACTGGATTCATGCCCTCTCCTGAGTTCTGTTAAGGGGAGTTCTCCATCAGTTCAAATTGTTACAAAGTTCAACTGGAGGTTTCCTTCTCCCTGTGGCCTTTTCCCACTGCCTCTGCCCTTCCTCCCCAAGAACCCCTGTGAGGCAAGGTGGAAATTGCTTGCTAGAGAACCCAGCGATCCCACAGGGGTTTTCCTACTGCTTCCTATACCCCTGTATTTCACTTGGCTCTCTAAGTTGACTCAGCTCCAGTGAGGTCAGATTTGTCTCCTGTAATCTAGACCTTCAGGTTCCCTAATGGGGTGTGTGTTCTGGGGCAGATGATCTCCCTTTCCCACTTCCACACTGTTCGGGCACTCACAGTATTTGGGAGGTCTCCCGGGTCCTGCAGGAGCAATCCACTTCCTTCAGAGGGTATATGGGTTCTCTCGGCTTTCTAATGTATTCCTGCTGTCATTCTGGAGCAGAAGTTTACAATGTGAGCCTCCATGTGCTGCTCTGTCCATCTGAGTGGGAGCTGCAGTCTATTCCTGCCTCCTTTCTGCCGTGATCTCTCCTACTTTCAGGGCTTTTTCTTTTTTGTTTCCATTTGTGTTCTGCATTGTGTCCTAACTAAGAAGTCAAACTGGCTGGCTATATAGCATCTTGCTAAATGATACTTTATTCTATGTAAAGGTACTTGTCCTCATTGGAAAACGGTTCTTGAATATAAGTTTCTAAAGCTGCCTTGAGATACTGAGAAGGCAGTATAGCATGGTGAATAAAAGGATGGGTTTTGGAATTAGACTTGGATTCAAAATCAAGATCTGCCATTTACTAAGCCATGTGACTTTGGGAAGTTACTTAACATTGAGCTTCTGTTTCCTCACCTGTAAGAAGAGTATGCTAATTCCTCTCAAGTTACAAGGATTAAATGAAATACTGTATTTCATATGTGGCACATAATAAGCACTCAACAAATGTGGCTATTATTTTCATTATTAGAAGGGCATAAATAAATAGGTAAAAATATGCATTTTAAAAGTCTTAGCAGGAAACCGATAAATTAATTTTGATTTTCGTAAGTTGCTCCATTGTTCCTAATTTCCTAATCAAGCCCTACATGACAATCCTCAGTTATTTATAAACTTAAGTTATTTGTTTGTAGTGCCATTAACAGTATTTGTTCAATTTACTCAACATCTGGCTTTCCATAGTAATCAGAAATCCCAGTCTTTAAATACCGTTCAGAGAACTCCAAGCAGTTTTCTAAACAGATGGTTTTGTGTCTGTGATTTTTTTTTTCCTACGTGTTCTCCAGAGATCAGAACTCTGAAAAGATAGCACTGGATTCCCCCCACCACTCACTGTGCCCCAGCCTTTCCCAGTGATTTTGGTTGAGAATGCAATAGTGACCTTAGTATTTAATTTTGTCTCTATGAAGCTGTTTTTTTAAAAAGTGGTGATTTTCAGAGGGGAGAGAATACCATAGAACCAGTGATGATGTTGGTTATCTTCATTTTCCATCAGCATCCTGGGCTCTTGCCCCTCTACCATATATACCTGATTCCTTTTTTCAGAAGGAGTCTTCCTGCTTGGAAGATTTATATAAATTTAATTTATGTAAATTATATGTACTACCATAATTGTAATTTACATTCTAAAATATACCCTAAAATAGAATTTTTAGTAGAATGAGATAAATTTCTATAAATAAAAAGTCCATTTTTTTTCCTGTCCTCCATTGAATTATTTTGTGAACCCGTTTGGGTATATGCATCCCACTATGGATTCAGATTCATCCCTTGTATCCAAATTACAAATTATTTGAGAAAACAAAATGTCTACCTAAATAGTAGAATGTTATTAGCAGTTGTTTAAATGTGTTATGTAGGAAGAGTTGTGTCAGTTAGTGAGATCAGCTTTTCCCAAACCTTATTATACCTGAGATCACGAAATCATTTAATTCTCTGCCTTAAATACCAAGAAAGAAGGACAAAAGGATAGTGAATGGAGAGAGAAGAGCCAAGATACACTTTTTTATTCCTGGGAATATTAAGCAAGATGCTGAGTATGAAGCAGTAATGATTTGCCCTGGCAAACTATAGTGAATTAAGAAATATTCTATAGACTGTAAGTAGATTGCTAGAAGATTTCTATGTACAAGAGTTCTCTTCTGCATTCCATGTTGCAGAGAAGCCTTGGGCTGGACCACAAAGCAGGGAGTGTATAGGATTCAGATGAGTGGAGAGGGAAAGAGAGCATTTCCCACTGTTTGTTTGGATTTGCTAATTGCTTTTTGATTTTGAGTCACCCATTTGCTTGTTTGTTTCTTTGTAAGTGTTCCTGGTTCTCCATCATCTTTCACAAGACTAACTCCAACAGCTTCCTTACCATCCTTCCAACGTTCTGGAATCCCCTTTGCTTCTCTTCTTTTTATTTTTAATTATGATGGATGCGTAATGATTGATCCTCTTTTCTTCTTATCCACCATTTTCTCTTACCTGGATCCTGGATTATTGCCTCAGCCTGCCTCCCTTCTTTTCCCCCTTCTAATCCATTCTCCACCCAGCCATCAAAGTGATCTTTCTAAAATTTAAATGTGATTCTGTTTCTGCTTAAAACCCTTCAGTGGTTCCTCACTTCCTCATTATAAAGTTTGAATTCTTCACCATCGATTATATGGCTTTTATTATCTGGATCTTACCTTTCTAGAAAGCTTACCACTTCTCCCCCTTACATTAGATACTCTCAATCATATTAAACTCTTTGGCATGCTTTCTTTCACCTTTGGCTCTTTGCGTTTGTTTCTCTGCCTGAAACTCTTCCTATTCTCCTGGCTAACTTGTACTCAAGTTTGATGTCCCAACTTAAATTCCACTTTCTTGGAAGTGCATGCACAGTACTTGCTTAGTCTATGCTGTCACCATTTCTACATTCATGCTCTGGATGTAATGCAAAAAGCACAGCACAGGATTTGGACTTGGAGTAGGAAGACTAAGGTTTGACCACTAATCTTTGCTATGCAATCTTGGGGAAGTCACTTAATGTCTTCAGGCCTTAATCACTTCATCTCTAACGTGGAATAATGTCACTTTTCTCTCAAGCCCATTGAAGCATTTATTGATATAATACACATAAAAGGATACTATAAGCACTAAAGCACCATGCTCATGTACATTACTGCTGCTACTATTGTTATTACTACTACTGCTACTGCTATTACCACTCCTCTCCTCTTCCTCCTTGCCTGCCACCTCATGATCCTCAGCAGTCTTTCTGGAGTGTTTTATATGGGACTTGGTTTTTTAGGGGATGAAGATTTTACCAAGGACATAACAGAGCTGTTTTCCCAGCTGCACGTTTCCTCCAAACCAGAGAAACTTGCCAGGGTAAGTTATCGCTTCTTGGTGATTTTCATTATTTTACTTGTAAGAATGTAGTGGATAAAGACTATAAGATTATAAATTCCTGGCAGAGGTGTCACCAAAATCGAGGGTGTATTCTCATTATACCCAGAATTGGGTTTTGCATCTACTTGCCTTCTGCTCCTCTAAGTTAGTGTGTTGAACCCACATCTGCCCTCCAACACGTGTCCCATCTTCACCTGTTTTCAGTTGGGATGCTTTGCTTATCTGAAAGCTTAATTTAGGCTACAATGTTGGTCATTAAAAGTTGGCAGTGCTGACCACCCTCATGATTCCAATGGGTGAGCCTCTGTTGAGGACTCACTGTTCTCAGGGGTCTGAATGATTTAGAAATAATATGTGGCCTTGCCCATAGGGATTAGAGGTTGTCATTACCTAGAGCCCAGTGACTCAGATAATGACTATTTGGCGTATGGAAGTGAGAAAGTATTATGACCAAGGCCTTTATTTTTGGTGCTGATTCTGGAACTATTTTCTTATATCTGAAATGTGGAGAGACTTTAATCAAAGCTTAGAGTGGGTAGGGAGGTTCTGTGGCAAATATAAGCCAGTGCCTGCTCATGGGACACTGTTCACTGGGTCATGGACTGCTTGCTACCTCTTTACCCACCTCTACCAATCTTGAGAAGCATTTCAAGACCAGTCAGCTGCAGGTGCACATTGTTTCCTGGCCAGGGAGAGGTGAGAGCTATTGCATAGTCAACCCAGTCACCTTGTCTCCATCCCTCAGGGCAAGGAATATGATGTTTGGTGTGTTATCCCACTCTCCTATGCCCATCGAAAAAGGTGTATTCTCTGAGAAAGCTTTTTTAGATCATCCCCAGGCAGCTCATCTCCCTTACCTCTACTGTAACACTTTACTACAGCACTTTTGATCTTGTATTATAGTGCTTTTTATTTTGGAAATAATATCAAACTTAGAGAAAAGTTACAAGAGTAGCACAAACAATACTTGTATACCTTAGTACTCTTAATATTTACCTCATTTGCTTAAACATTTGTGCTTTCACATATGTTCTTTCTCTCTGTGTGTGTAAATACACATATACACATGTAGATAAACATATTATTTTTGTAACTATTTGAGAGTAAATTGTAAACATTATTGCTCTTTTAAATTTTTCAATATGTGTCTGCTAAGGATAGGGATATTCCCTTACATAACCACAGTATAGCCATCAACTTCAGTAAATTTAACATTAGTACTTTTGTTGTACTAATTTGTTGTAATCTGTTTTCCGTATTTCAGTTACATCAGTTGACCCAATAACTTCCAATAATATCAAACTTTTTCCTTCACCACTGGAGCCAGTACATGATCACAAATTTAGCTGCCATGTACTTTTAGTTTCCTTTAATCTAGAACAGTTCTTCAGCCTTTCTTTGTCTTTTATGACACTGGCGTTTTTAAAAAACAAGCTTTGGAGTTTGTCTGATGCTTTCTCATGATTAATGTCAGTTTATACATTCCTGGCCAAAATACTCTGTAAGTGATGGTGTGTCCTGCCCAGGGTATCACATCTAAAAGTACATGATATTCATTTACCCCTTATTGGTGATGTGTTATCTGATTTCTTTCTGTAGAGCTACAGTTTATTTACCTATCTTGCTAATAAACGTTCTGTGAGGAGATACTGTAAGACCATACAAATATCCTGCTACTCATCATAATTTCTCTCCTAAATCTAGCATCTATTTATGATTCTTGCACCAATATCTAGTGTGAAGATTTACCAGTTGGCTTTAAGCGTTCCAGTGTAGTCATGAGCTCTCCTTTCTCCCCCATTTTGTTCATTCTTTTTTTATTCGTTGTCAGTATTTATTTTTTATTTGTTGTCATGGAGTTCTGCTTTTTCCCCATTGGCTTGTAATTCATCACTGTCCTTAATATTTTGATGTTCAGATTTGTCTTTCAAGCTGGCTCCTAGGTGGCATGCCTCCATCATTTTGGGGTGCTTCCTTACTTTCTGGCATAACAAGATATTCTTATATCTTAATACCTTCTGTGCCCCAGCCCCACAACCAGAAATTTCTTTGCGAAAGCATGATTCATTGATTTTTGGTTTCATAAACCAAGACCTGAGTACTAAGTGTACTCATCGCCACTGGCGTGACTCTGATTCTAGGCTGTCAGCAGAGCTAGAAAATATACTCAGGTACGTATACACCTATATGTGTTATGTATGTAGATACATATGTGCACATGTACACCTATATGTGTTTTAGAAATCATGATTTCACACATAGTATAACTCCAATTTTAATCCATCCCTACAGGGTTTTTTCTTGCCTTTCCCTGTTACACATTTGTATCTCTCTTCTACAGTAGGAACCTTGTCTCCCAACAATATTACCACATTTCCTTAATTATGAGATGTGTCTGAAATAGTTTTATTACTTTGCCTATACTATAGAGTATCCCTTATCCAAAATGCTTGGAATAGAGAACTGTTTCAGATTTCAGATTTTTGTTTGGATTTTGGAATATTTGCACACACACACACACACACACACACACACACAGTGCTGTATCTTGAGGATGCAATCTAAGTCTGAACACAGAATTTATTTATATTCATGTATACCTTATACACATAGCCTGAAGATAATTTTATACAATATTTTAAAAAATTTTGTGCATGGAGGCCGGGCGCAGTATCTTACGCCTGTGATCCCAGCACTTTGGGAAGCCAAGGCAGGCGAATCACGAGGTCAGGAGATCGAGACCATCTTGGCTAACACGGTGGAACCCCATCTCTACTAAAAATACAGAAAATTAGCCAAGCCGGGCGTGGTAGTGGGTACCTGTAGACCCAGCTACTCAGGAGGCTGAGGCAGGAGAATAGCATGAACCCGGGAGACGGAGCTTGCAGTGAGCCAAAATCGCACTACTGTACTCCAGCCTGGGCGACAGAGTGAGACTCTGTCTCAAAAAAAAAAAAAAAAATTGTGCATGAAACAAAATTTTGAATTCATTTTGACTGCAACCCATCACATGAGGTCAGGGGTGGAATTTTTCACTTGTGGCATCATATTGACGCTTAGAAAATTTCAAATTTTGGAGAATTTTGGATTTTTGTATAAGTGATACTTAATCTGTACTATAAAAGTAACCTACAAAAAATGGTTTTATTTGCTGCCTATGTGTTAATTTTGTTTTTGAATATGTAGGGTATTAACATGCTTCCAAAAATCAAACTGCATAAAAAATATACTCAGGTCTCTCCCTCCCACTTCCCTTCCACTCCGTTCTTCTGTTTTTGTAGGTATTCATCTTTCTTGTTTTTGGCTTATCTTTCCCGAGTTTCTTTTTGTAAAGATAAGCAGATATATTTTCTTATCTCCTCTGATGGAAAAGTCAACATACTGTATTTGTTCTTTAGCACTCTGCCTTTTTCACTTAGCCTTGTGCATAAGTATTTTTATACATTTATCACAGTTTTTAAAAAATATGTATATCTTACCTCCTATCCTGAAGCTTAAATTTCTCAAAGGCAGGATCTGTACATACCTATTCCTTAAAATTCCAGCTCTACTACCTATTACTTTCTATGTGACCTTTAGCAAGTTGCTTGACCTCTGTGAGCCTCATTTTTTTCTCTGTGTGGTGAGTAATAATAATGTAGGGTTCCTGTGAGGTTTAAATGTGTTCACACACACAAAGCTCTTACAAACTGCCTGGCTTATAGTAAATAAATGCTCACTGTTGATGGCTTCACAGAAGATAGCCCGATGTCCTCTACATGTAGCTGTTCAATAAATATACATATATGTTCAATAAACCTTTATTGTGCTTAGTAATTTGCTAGGTGCTAGGGAAATAATCATGAGAAAGACATAGTTTACATGCTTAATGAGAGATCACATTAATAATAATTTTTGGAAGACCAGTAACTCCTTATCTATCTGGCAGTTCTAGCCATTCTCTGAAAGCAGTCTTCAGATTGTTTAAGTTTTAGGCATTGAGACTTAAGATGTAGATTGGTTAAGGATCAAGGCCTTAACCATTGACCCTCAAAAGATTTATATGGCAGGCTGTGATGTAGGGGAAAGAGCACTGAATTAGGAGTCTGGGAATATGATTCTATGATTCTGATTCTTGTTCTGATACTCACATGTGGTGTGGCCTTGGACAAATTCATTTTCTTCTCTAAGCCTTGTTATTTTTCTGTTGGAAATAAATAAACTTTTGGAGAAGCCAAGTTCAAAGGTACCTTTTGAGATCTGCAGATCTCAACAACTGGAAAGTTCCAGACTGAATTGTGGGCGTGGATGACATTAATAATTTTGGAAAAGGATAATAAATTACCTTGAGTTGGCACAATAGTTCGTGATGATTTCACTTAATATATTTATTACAAGAGAGGTCACTTTGGGTAAGCTCTATGCCTACTAAAATATCTCCTGGCCAGGGGCAGTGGCTCACACCTGTAATCCCAGCACTTTGGGAGGCCGATGGGTAGATCACGAAGTCAGGAGTTCAAGACCAGCCTGGCCAAGATGGTGAAACCCCATCTCTACTAAAACTACAAAAATTAGTCAGGCGCAGTGGCAGGTGCCTATAATCCCAGCTACTCGGGAGGCTGAGCTTGAACCTGGGCAGCAGAGGTTGCAGTGGGCTGAGATCATGCCACTTCCCTGTAGCCTGGGCAACAGAGTGAAACTCTATCTCAAAAAAACTCCCTCAAGTATATTAAATTTATCGTATCAATTTTTTCTTTTATGTGGTCTATCACTTTCCATTTTTCTTTCTTTTTTAATCTCAGATAAATTAATCCTTCGTTTTTTACTCATTTTGTCTCTTCAAAGATATTGCAAATAATTTAACATATTGTTTGTATTATTAGTCAACTGTTAGGATTCTTTCCAGCCTCATCTCTCACTGTTCTCTTCTATAAATGTCACTACTCCAACCTAATTTTCTGTCACACTCCCCATCCTCTATATTCTTCCTTACTGGCCTTTGTTCTGTTTCTCAGGTGTACCACGCTCATTTCCCTGTGCTTACAACTCTTGTTGCCTAAATATTTGTATGGCCAATTCCTTCAGATTTCAGCTGAAACATAACTTTTCAGAGACCCTTTCTGACCACCCAAACTCAAGCCACCTTCTACCCACACTCATCATTACTCCCTTTTATTTTCTTTATGTATGTATTTGTTTGCTTGTTAATTGCCTTATTAGGAGAGAGAAGAGCAGGCTCCTAGATTGTATTATTCACCATTGAGTCCCTAGCACTGGCACAGTGTTAGTATATATTTGCAATAAATGAATGAATGAGTAAAATGCCTGTATCCTATATTTTGGTCTTACTAGATATCTCACAGTTAGCCTAAACACTTTGCATTTTTCTGTTTCCAAGCCTTTATATAGTTCATGCTATTTGGTGTTTTGAATTTGAGAGGTTAATGCTTAATTAATGGGAAGGTATAGATCAGAGCTAGATTCTTCCTGAATGTTTTTGTGGGAGAATGTAGGGAAGGAACCCTACAGTGAAATTCTGGGAACACAAGTCTGCTTTAGCTCATTCAGGTGGCCTTGGGTGTAGCCCTACTTACTGATCCTTCAAGGTCTAACTCCAGTGCTGTGCATGTAATAAAACCTGTGTTTCTCATTTAGAATCATTCTCAAAGTCTTCTCTGGATTCCTATTACCCTCATGACAGCTTTGAACACATTCTGTGTATTTAAAGTTAATAAAGTAGATGGTAATAACAGTTTCTGAGAAACCAGGACTCTCTCACTTGCAAATGACAGAAACTCAAGTTAAGAAACTTAAAAAAATAACAAACTAATTTAAAAGAGAGGAATTCAGTAGCTCAAGAAAACAGAAAATCAAGGAAGAGAACTGGCTTCAGGCATCCTCTGTTCAGGAACCTATCTCTATCCCTATCTGTGTGTTTTGGCTTGCTTCCTTTTGTTTTGGCTTCATTCTTAGGGAAGCTTTTCCCTATGGTGGTAAAATGACCATTGGCAGCTTTAGGGTGGGTGACTTTTTTCCATTTCAGTAACTCCAACTAAAAGAACACTTCTTTTTGTTGATAATTTTACCAGATGTCCTGGGACTGATGTCCATTGATCTGGCTTGGGTTACTTTTTAATCTGTGAACCACTTACTCTGTGGACACAGGTATTAATATTCTCAGTAGCTAAATCTGAATGGTTACCCAACTTTTGGAGCCAAAAGATGGAAGTAGCTCCATGCAGATCACATGAACTAAGGAGAATCTAGAACCTGCCACCAAAAGAAAGGAGATATGGATGCTGGTCATATCTATATCCAAAACAGTAGTTGTTCTTCACAGTGTTCTGAACACTGGGTATGCAAAGCCAAATAAAACACACTCTAGCTATCCTATAATACATAGTTTAGTTAGGAAACAGATAATTCTACTATATTTGGTTAAGTACTAAATTTAAGTTACTTGAAAGAGATGATATCTGGGTAGAGGATTGAAAGAACAAGTACAGTAGAGGTCATTCTTACCAAACATAAAGTGGAAAATGTTAAGAGATGAGGCTGGAAAAGTAGGTAGGGTCTAGGTCATGGAGACTTGTTACATCATGTAAAGAGCATGATCTAGTTGATGAGGAGCCATTGAAGGAAAGAGGAATGGTCAGCCCTGGGCTTAAGACCGATCACTGGTAGCATTATGGAAGATAGATTTAAGATAAACAGATCAGAAGCAGGGAGACCAGTCATGAAGTGGCTCTGAACTCAAGAAGTGGTAATAGGGAGGAGGAAGACGGGAAGGAAGAGGATGACAAGGGACTTGGATAAAATCAGACCATCTTGGTCATTGATTGGAGAGGAAAAAAATTTAAGATGGCCCCTATATTTTGGCTCAGGTGACTGGTACATGGTGGCAATTCTGAAACTTTGGGAAATGAAAGAGGTTGAAAAATTTGGGGGTAGGAAGAGAAAGACAATGAGTTCAAAGTTTTTACTTGTTATGTGTGTGATGCCTGCAGAGTATTTTGTGTAGCAGGCATTTGGAATAAATTTTCAGGAGAGGTCAGGGCTAGAAATAAGGATCTAAGAGTCAACAGTAGGCTGAGGATAGTTAAAACCACTGGCATAGGATCGATGGAGAGGGAATAGGATGAGACAAGTAAGAAGTGAAGGCTAAACCTCCAAATGATTCTGGTGTTTAAGAGACTGGCCAACTAGGATCAATATATAAAAGAGACTGAGAAGGAATGATCATAAAGGTCAGAGGAGAACAGAAGAATGTGGGGTTACAAAAACCAAAGAAAACTAGATTCATTATCAGGAGAATGGATAAATTGTGATATATACAATCATGCATTGTTTATTGATGAGGATATGTTATGAGAACTGCATCATTAGGCAGTTTTGTCATTGGGCGAATATCAGAGAGTGTACTTACACAAATCTAGCTGATGTAGCCTGTTACATACCTAGGCTATATCGTTTAACCTATTGCTCCAGTACAAAACTGTACAGCATGCTACAGTAGTGAATACTGTAGGCAGTTTTGCAACACAATGGTATAGAAAAGATAGAGTAAAAATACAGTATTCCAATCTTACAGGACCACCATTATATATGTGGTCTGTTGTTGACCTAAACATCATTATGTGGTGCATGACTGTATATAAAATGAAATACTACGCAACAGTTAATATGAATGAACTAATACATGCAACAACATGGATAAATCTAACAGACATTATGTTGTGCTTAAGCCAAACACAAATTAGAATGAACTTATATTTCTATTTTTATGCATTTTAAGATCAGGGAAAATCATTTATGGTGAGCAGAAGAGGGGTTGTCTTTGGGCAGGAGGAGGGAGACATGGTTGGAACAGTATTGGCGAGGAAGGGACATGAAGGGACCTTCTAGGGATGAGGAAATATTCTATATCTTCATCACAGTTTAACAGGCATATACACGTATAAACATTTCTTAAGCCGTACTCTGAAGATTTGTGCACTTTACCGTATGTAAATTATACCTTGGTTTTTTGAAAAGCTGATTAGAGGCCAGGTGCAGTGGCTCACGCCTGTAATCCCAGCACTTTGGGAGGCCAAGGCAGGGGGATCACCTGAGGTCAGGAGTTCGAGACCAGCTTGGGCAACCTGGCAAAACCCCATCTCTACTAAAAATACAAAAATTAGCCAGGCATGGTGGCGGTTGCCTGTAATCCCAGCTACTCGAGAGGCTGAGGCAGGAGAATCTCTCGGACTCAGGAGGTGGAGGTTGCAGTGAGCCAAGATTGTGCTATTGCATTCCAGCCTGGGCAACAAGAGTGAAACTCTGTCTCAAAAAAACAAAAAAACAAAAAAACAAAACCACCAATTAGAGAATTTAAAAAAGGAATGATGGACAGCAGTGATAAGTGCTGAAAAGGACTTATGATAAGGACTGAAATGATGGACAGCAGTGATAAGGACTGAAAAGCTAGATGGTATGTTCAGGTAAGAACAAGTGCCCTTACTTCTAGGATGCTATTGTGTTCCTGGTAGGTGCACAGTAATTTTGGTGAACTGAATTGAATTGTTGATGGCCAATATTTTTCTTACTTAGGCAAGAAATACCGCCCACGAATGGATCAGGAAGTCTCTGACCAAGCCATTAGCAGAGAATGAAGAAGGAGAAAAACAGTTGGAAGCAGAAAATACTGAGCAAGTCAACAAAAATTCAATAGAGGTAGCCAAAGCAACTAAGGCTATTTTGTTTGTTTTAGTAGATTTGAGATGTATCACAATCAAGGACCCAGGCTCTTTAGTTTTTACACTGCTATCCGTAATTTAAACCTTGTGATCTAGGATTGTAGCATCTTAGATCCAGACTATAAGATTAAAGGAGGAGTGAAGAAAAAAGAAAGGATGCATGTGTGTTTTGTCATGAGGAAGGTTCCCAGAAACTGCCGCCTGACACTTGTTATCTAAATCATTTGACCAAAACTTAGTTACTTGGTCACACCTGACTACAGGGGAGCCTTTGTGTTTGTAACTTTGAGCCCAGCTGTAAAATTACATCACTGTGGAAGAAGAAGACACTCTTTATTGGAAGGCAACTATTAGTCTCTGCTACAAATCCTGTAGTATGAGAGAAGTAAGGTGGTATCATTTCCACCAAATGTTTTGCTATGCTGTGTTTTGTTTTTCCATCCAGGATATCCATGCGTTTGCAATCCGGAGTCTAGCTGAACTGACTGCTTGCTCAATTGAACTATTCCACAAAACAGCTGCATTGGTTCTGCATGGCAGGAAGCAGGAAGTGACAGCCGTAGAAAGGAGCCAAACTCTTTCCCAGTAAGTGTAATGAGAATTCCTCTAAATGATGCAAATTGCAGGAGTTTCCTTGGCCTATTTCCAAAGTTTTATAAACATCTCTCTCAAGAAACCATTCACCTCACACCCATCCACATATTCGACGGTTTGTTTATTTTGGTTGTTTTTTCCTTTTCATTGAACCATGATAAATCAGCATTATAAATCTGCCCTTTTTATGAACCAGCTCATGTTCTGAAAACTATTTCTTTACAGATTATTAGTTTTAATAGGAATGGAATTTGGTGTAAGTGAAAACAGAGGAGTTCTAAGAACCTCAGTTCTTAATAGTAGTTATTATTGAGTGCTAATTATATACCATGCCAAGTGCCATGCTAAGGGATTTGCATGTATAACTTCTAATTTTTGTAACCCCAAAAGTAAGTGATTAGTCCAGTTTTAATCATGAGGAAATGCAAACTAGAGGAGTTAAGTAATCTGTCTGTGTTGTGTGGCCTGGGATTTAGACCCAGGTCTGAGTGTCCTGAACCCATTCTTTTTTTCTCATGATATTGCTGATTTATACACAAATTTTTCAAAAATAGTATAGATAATCATAGGTGGGGAAGAAAAAGCCCAGTAGTTTCTGAGTAAATCTCCTGATTGAAATAATGAGAATTTTAATTAGAAACAAATACATGAGAGTGCCCATTGTTAGAACTGGGAGGGGCTGTCAGTCTTCTGCAGACTTCCTCTTTACTTGCACCATCACCATTCCACTACACTATCCCATAATAGGGGGCTCATTTGTCTTCTTGAACATCCTTAAGGATGAGAGACTCACAACCCTAAAAGGAGCCTGTTCTGTGGAAAAGAGGCTATTTCTGCTGCTTGAAATGTTCTTTGAAATGTGGTTCACTCCCTCTCTGAATTCAAGTCTACTCAAGTGCCACCTTTTTAGAAAAGCCTTCCTTCACCACAAAGTCTGAAATAGCATCTCCAACCATTCTCTGTCCTTTTACTCTGCTTTATTTTCTTAGCTTATATCACCACATAACACTTATATGTATATGAATATATATGTGTGTATATGTATACATATGTGTGTGTGTGTATATATGTATATAGTCTCCCCCTTAATTTAGCAAGTAAGTTGGAATCCATGAAAACTAGGACTTTTCTTGTTCACTGATATGTTCCCATTGTTTGAAAGACTTTAAGTAAATAAAATCTGGCACATACAAGACTTTAGGTAAATATTATTAAAGATGGACTAATCACTTACTTTTGGAGTTGTTGTAAAAATTAGAAATGATACATGTAAATCCCTTAGCATGGTGCCTGGCATGTAATTAGCACCCAGTAACTAATAACTGTTATTAAGAACTGAGGTTCTTAGAATTAATGAATACATATTTTTAACTTTTCTAAATGGAATGTAGGGTCTTTTGAGTGTGATGTTGTCTCCTTAAAATGTATTTTAATTATTTTCTATTTGATTTGACTTGAACATATACTGCTTTCTAGAGGATTTTATAAAATAGAAACGTTTTTCTAAGGACTGAACTTCCTTTTTCTGTAGCATGAGTGCCTGCTCAGATGGATCTTCTTATACATTGGCAGGCTGATTTAGGCATACAGTAGTACCCCCTTATCTGTATGGGTTATGTTCTAAGCCCCTAGTGGATTCCTGAAACTGTGGGTAGTACCACACTTGATTGCCATCATTTGGAACACATTTCCGTGCGTGTCTTCCACCCACAAATTTAATGCCTTTTCCATCTTTTTAAAAAATATTTTATTGATACATATTATATATATTTTGTTTCTATCTAATTAAGTGTTTACGTAATAAATTCACTACTATTAAAGTACTATTTATGTTTCATAATACACCATTTATATATTTCTAGTTATAATTTATATAAAATACCTATTTATGATATGAGTACATACCTATAAATAGTCAGTACGATAAATTATATATCTGGTAACT